CCTGCTGAGAACTCAGTTACCACCTCAGACATCCATCAGTGACAGAAGAAAGCATCTCCTAAATGACTCTCTCCATTTTAGAATGTTCAGAATATGGCTTTATAAGGCCACATGTTGGTTTCATATACATTTTTCTAAGATTCTCAGAAATTATATATTGCTTATTTATATCTTCTTTTATATAAATAAGTTTGTTTTATAATTATATTTATCTAAAATATAAAATATGTACCCAAAATATTTATGTATTTTTACATTACATAGCTTATTTTATAGCTTAGTATGGTACCTTTTGTTTTACTCCAGCTAACGTTTTTATACTCTTAACCCTCAAGCCTGTCTGCACCATCTCTCCCCAAAAGTGCTCTAAAATGATTTTTGTTTTAGAAATTACCTCTTTCAACAAACCCCAAAGAATTTAAGTAAAGGAACAGATGCATAGATTGTAAATTTTTGCTTTAGTTGCAAAGCACTCAGCTGAGAATATGGCAAAAATTGTATTCTCTAACAGTCTCTAGCAAAGACAGCAAATTCCTCAGTTTTCCTCCCTGTCTCTCATCTAAATTGTGAAATTCAAAATGGGGAAGAAATTAGTTTATCACTTTATACTAGTATTGTCTCCTTTCTAGGGAAAAAAAAGGACTGTTTCCAGGCAACAATACATCATTGCGTTGTTACAGCTTAATGCACTTCTAGCCAATGCATACAGCATTGGGGGTTTCACATTTTCTTTAAAATCTGAACTATTTTTTGCACTCCGATGCATTATCTGGTAACAAACCTGCAGAAAGTCAGCTGAATGAAGTGCCATGAGACTAACAAAAAGCTTATGAGAATTCTACCTGAAGTCTACTCAACCACTTCTGAGACTAGAAATGTCAAATAAGTTGAACCTCTAAAATACACAGTTAAGTAATTTTCTCTTATATTTAAATAATCCATGTATTTTGAAGTACATTAAGAATACTGATTTCAGATATCTCAAGATGTAATAAAACCTACCTCCTACAGGCAGTCTGGGGCTCCCCGTCACAAACTGGAGGAACAGTCTTTGCTGCTCACTATCAAAGCTACTGAGGATTTCGAAGAGATACTTCACTGCCCGACTAAGGAGAGGAAAAACAAGCTATTATAGTTTATAGTTAAAATTGCATCAGATTCATATTCAGTGCAGTACAAATATTTTCACATAAATTTCATGTCATTCCTTTAGCTTGATTAACAGTACATAAATATTATTTAAGTATGTACTTTCCAGTACTACTATTTTTATATTTAACAAGACCAACACCATACTACCTGTCATGGGTGTAACCGTGATCTGGCCTGCAACATTCCATTAAAGTCTTTGCATCCCAAGTGTCTGTTTTACTGCCACACAGGAGCTGCTCCAACTATGAAATTAAAAAACAAGGAAGAAATTTTCCCCTTTAGAACTTGAGGCAAAACAAGTACTGCCCACTGTGACTACTACTACAGTACTCCACTTTCTAGAATGGCTTGCTGCAAAAATAACCTCAGTCACACCAGCCAATCTTCTCAAATTCTTTGAAAGCAACAGCTTCATCCCAGTGACATCCTCATTTGCTGAATCTGCCTTCACATACAATGCACATGAGATGCTGAAGGTACTTCTCAGAGCAGAGACAGTCCTTACAAGCAATATACACTGGAGAACCAAAAATGCCTTAACTTTTTGGAAATCTCATAATTTGAGAAATCTAGGGTAACTGGAAGAATAAAGTGCTTTTTAGAACTCTGAGCTCTTCTTTGAAAGAAAGAAAAAAATTAGACAGATGAATCTGTCAGCAGTTTTGTACTTCAGCTTTGCCTGTCCTTCCTATGCACTTGGCACATAGATGACGACAGGCTAGAGCTAAAACATGAAAAGATTCTAAAGATGTCCTTCTAGGCTACAGGAGGAGTTGTAAAGCCCCAGTCTCAATAAAACCAGAGGTTTGACACTAGCTGTTCTGCTCATAAACAAAAGACTTTTACAAGTTCTTTGTAACAGTTTAGGAATGGTTTGTAAGAAGGTTCAAATGGTTGCATAGCTATCAGCAACGGATCATGACATCATACATGTATTCTATGAAGTACTAAGGGTCCAGAGTGGTGGTGGAGCTAAACCTGGTTGGCAGCCAGTCACAAGCTGCATTCCCCAGGGCTCAGTGCCAGGACCACTCCTCTTTAACATCGTTACCAATGACCTTGATGAGGAGATTGAGAGCACCCTGAGTAAGTTTGCAGATGACACCAAGTTAGGTGGTTGCACTGATCTGCTTGAGGGAAGGGAGGCCCTTCAGAGGGACCTGGACAGGCTGGACCAAGGGGCCATGGTCAGTTCTGTGACCTTTAATAAGGCCAAGTGCCAAGTCCTGCACTTGGGCTGCAGCAACCCAATGCAAAGCTACAGACTTGGGGAGGAGTGGCTGGAAAGCTGCTCAGCAGAAAGGGACTTAGGGGTGTTGGTGGACAGTTGGCTGAACATGAGCCAGCAGTGTGCCCAGGTGGCCAAAAAGGCCAATGGCATCCTGGCCTGTATGAGGAATAGTGTAGTCAGCAGGACTAGAACTGATCATCCCACTGTACTTGGCACTGGTGAGGCTGCATCTTGAGCACTGTGTTGAGTTTTGAGCACCACAGGACAAGGACACTGAGGTTCTAAAGAGGGTGCCAAGAAGGGCAACAAAGCCCCTGGTGAAGGGTCTTGAGGACAAGTCTTTGAGGAACAGCTGAGGATATTGGGGTTCTTCAGTCTGAAGAGGAGATAGCTGAGGGGTGACCTCAGCACTCTCTACAACTCCCTGGAAAGGAGGTTGTAGGGAGGCTGGTGTTGGCCTCCTCTTACATACCACAACTGACAGGGCAAGAGGAAATGGTATTAAGTTATGCCAGGGGAGGTTTAGGTTAGACATTAGGAAAAAGTTCTACACCAAAAGGGTGATCAAACACTGGAACAGGCTTCCCAGGGAAGTGGTTAAATCACCATCCCTGGATATATTTTAATGCCATCTAGATAGAGTGCTCAGGGAAGCAGCCTGGTAGAGTCAGATAATGGTTGGACTCTGATCTTAAAGGTCCTTGCCAACCATAGCGATTCTGTGAAGTAAAAAATATATCTCACATTACTCCTATGGATTAATGTTGATCAACCATACTACTAGATTAGTAGTAGACTAAAAATAGTTTAAGATTTTCAAGCTAAGGCAAGCATCAAATTATGCTAAACAGCAGAACAGCATCACATATCACAAAATTTTAGAATGAAATTGATATGGTGGGAGGTGAGAACAAAGTAAGACTATCCTTACCATTTACTACTTCATCTGCATCTCCTCTCACTGTCTAAAGCTTTGTTAAAGAGCTGGCTATTTTATAATAGAACACCCAGGTAGCATAAGCATCTATAGCTATGAGGTACTGCAACACAAGGAACTAAAAGTATCCACAGCAATACAGGTAGCCTGCACAAAAATTTAAGCATTTCTCAGAAAAGCTGGATACACTCAACTTTAATCAAAACAGAGCTATTAATAATTAAACACATCAAATAAATGGCCACCAAACAGAAATCTTTAACATGTATGCAATTTAAAGGACACCATGTTTTACTACCATACATCAGAACCTTAATCAGACTGTCACAAATACACCACATCCAACACAAGCCTGGGTTCACAGACTGTCCATACTTCTAGATAACAAGGTTATAAAAGCATTAGCAAAAACATGTTTACCAACCTCCTCAGGATAGAAGTACTGAAGATGACTGAGGGGGAAGACCGATTCAAAACCATCTCTGAAAGAGTCAAACTGTCTGGCTACACCTTCATTTAGTGCCCAGAATATAACCAGCTGCAGGAAAGGAAAAAAGTCACTGAACAACACAAGTCTGGAGTGATCAATACTGTACAGAAGACTACAGAAAAACTGCACAGGTGTGCTTTGAAGAAAATAGTCTCAAAGGTTGTTTGGCAAGAAGTGGAAAGGAAGCTTTCTGTAGTGATCTAGTGAAAGCAACCTTGCTTGGTTTTCCTCCGTAAACAGAGGCTGCAAATGCTGTTTCGAACTATGGTTGTTGTCATTACCCATCTCTAAAGTCTGCAAGAAGTTTTCTAACCAAAGATGTTTAATTTTAGAAGTGATTCTTGACTATCAGCATTTGCTTTCAACAAATAAAGATAAGAGGACTATGTGTGTAACAGCTTTAGTCTAGAAGATGAACAGCACAATATTCCATTTTAAGGAAGAAACTTTGCAAGGTTTCTCAGTTGATACTCAGGACCAAACCTCTAACTGAACCATTTTCTACCAAAACAGATATTTTTGGGGTTTGTTTTTTTTATCAGTGCTTGAAAGTATTACCAGCCCTTGGAGTGAAACTGGCATCATACTAACCTGTCAGAAAATGCATTATTTAGGAACTGGACTAACGTATTTTTTATAATACAATCATTCTTACCCCCATCCCACTCAGGACATCATGTGATAATAGTGCATTCCTCCTGCCCTTCCTCATCTCTTTTACAGGCTGTTTTTAAACTGTTTTTTTTAACACCTTCTTATGCAAAAGCATTTTCCTACCTTTGTTCAGCAGTATCATCCTTTTGTTTTTCTAGCTTTTACATCCATTCTACATCGGAATAACTCAATGTACAGGTCAACTTATTATGGCACTGTTTTGTTATCTGTTCCTTACCCATGTTATTTACCTATCTATTTGGAATGGGACGATTGTGTGGGATTTTTTTTGTGTTGTGTGATGAGATTCTTAAAGGTAACACTACTGCTCTAATTTTGACATGCAGCTGAGTTGATGTTTTAAGTCTGACTCTAAAAAGTTTCAGTATTATTATAGCAGTTCAAAGCCCAATGAAGTGTGGGTAGCAGGTGCTAATATACTAATGCAAACAAACCTACTAGCATACCCAGATGTGGGAACTTCTCTAAAGTCTAGAGCTCAAATTACTTCACTTACTGTAACACTTTTTATCCAGAAAAAAAAAAAAAAATACTTCTGATGACTTCATTATGTATAAACTGAACTTGTTTTGTATTATAAAATTTTCATGTTAGGTGTGTTGACTAGGACTCTAACAGTTTTTCTATAGTACCAAAGTAGCACAGAAGAAAAGCAATCTGTAGGAAAATTACTGCTGTGCCCAGTTCACAGAAATAAACTGAAATACACATGGAAACAAGCTGCTTGGGAACAAGCTGAAGAACAAGAAAAAGGAAAATTTTAGTCATAGCTTTTACATACTCTGAGATACTCCTCTAAGTTATGGATAGTGACCGGTGTATCTTTTCCCCCTTTTTTCAGTTCTATATTGGGAAACCCAGGAAGTGTAAAGTCCAGCCCTAGATCTTCCACTGAGCAGCCATTCATGGTCAGAGCTTCCAATGCATACTGTAGACTTTCTTTGGTCTAAAAAATGGGAAGTGAAAACCAGTGAGAATAATTACTTCACATTAACTTACCCAGAAGTTATGACTTCTAAAGCAGTTTTGACTAAGTAAACATTTCTGTAAGACTATTAATACTGTTACAGGAATCCTTGTTTTCCTTCTATATTTTTTATGCATAACAGTAAACCAAGACAACTCAAACTAGCTTAATGGATAAACCTGAAAGATAAACTACACTTTTCCAGCAATTTTGGAATTCAATTCTTACACATTATGTATTAAGAAAATACTACAAGAGAAGGAAATGTGTAATATGTTAAGGCTCTTAAGTATTCTAAGGAAAAAACATAGCCTAATAACATTTGTATTTGGCATGAATACTGACATTCTTCAGCTTTCATCCACCTGGTTTCAAGTTTTTCAAACTCTTGTTGGGAAATTGCAAGTGGTGATCAAGGAGAGAGAGAGAGAGAATGAGACAGTGAAGTGTAAAGGAACAAAGGCCTAGAAGCTTGCAATGACTTCTCCAGTAACAAAGCAGATGTATTAAAAGTATATATTAGGTTACCACCTATTAACATTGGTTGCAAGAAAGTGCATGTATGCCAAAGACCATTTATCACTACTCAGCAACAATGAATGGTACTACTTTTAGTTGAGTAGATAACCTTGAAAAATTAAAACCCTTCTGTACCTAAAAAAAACCCTGTATGCTCACATATAAAGCCAGTTTACACCAGTTCTGCATACAGGTCTTCAGTGCCCACAAAAGACACTTCCAATAAAGAAGCCAAGCCCTCTGAATGTTCAAAAAGGATACATTTCCCCCACCCCACCCCAGTACTGAATTGGCTTAGTGTTTTCAAAGTGAACCAAAAAAGATTTTACCTGAGGCAAACATCTAGCAGTTTTAACCATTTCTATCTAGCCTGTGGTTAATCACACAGAAGAATCCCATAATAAGTTTGTAACATTAGAGTCTACATGTCAAGAGGGCCATGTTATAATTACTAGCTACTAAGAGCACTAAAACTACTCCTTCTATTCGTATTAAGTCATTATCACTAATACCATCAGTATTAAGCTCTAACATACATTCTCAAATACAGCTACTTCATAAAATCTAAATGCATGTGAAGATGGACTTTTCTACTCTCAGGGTTACTCTCCCACCTGTGTTTTGTCTTGTTCAAGTCTTTTCTTTTGTCTTACAATATCCTCAAGGTGATATATTGATTTGGCTACTACTGGGTCAATACTGAACAAGTCATGTGACGTCAAGGAAGTTTCCTGTCGTAGCATCCATTTATAAAAAGGAAGTCCAAGAGGAAGGTCCACCTGAAAATTGAAACAGTATAGTATTGAACTATCTTCCAAAACTGTATGTCTCACTATTTTATTATCTCCCAACTGAAATACTATTTACTAATTCATACTTCTGACACACCAAAATAGTGCTCCAAGTTTTTACCAGAGAAATTTACAGTTGAGAACACAGAACTGACTGCTTAGTGCATATAGCCCAAAAAGATCTTTAAAGGAGATTGGAGAGAGACTGCACACACGGCAGGCAATGGGTTTATCTTCTCTCACTATGGTCTCAAAAAGCCACTCTGAAGATATTCAACATACACCACCTCTTCCCCTCTCAAAAGTTCAGTTGCTTCCCTTTCCCTCTCTGACCCCACTCCAAACTGCTAGAGCTGAAAGTGATTCCATGCAACGCAAAGCTACTTTTCCCCCAACAATCAGAACCTGAATTTTCATTTAGTCCCTCAGAATCACATTTTCCCTTTTATTCTCACCAGTCGAAAATCCATGATTGCCTTGGCCATGAGTTTTCCCAGAAAGCGGAACTTCATTTTAACCTTTGCAATGTGAGCTGGCTTCGCCGTTCTACCAAAGGGAAGTGCAAAAAGGCCTTGAAGGTTATGGATGTACTTGGTACCTTCCTGGCTTCCTGTTGAGGAAGGAAGAAATAAAACATCCAGTACATACACTGCTACTTTCATTCCAAACATAAGTTTGAATGTAGCTATCAGATAACCATAACCTAAAAGCTGCTTATAAAATTTAAAAAAAAAGTCCTACAAAGATAATTACACACTATCACAAGGCGTGTTATCTGACTGCAAACTGAAGTGCTTTTTCCATCCAAGTCAACTGAAGTAACTAAAGTTGACATTACTAAAGTCAGCTTAGGATCAGTTCAACAGTAGATCAATATTGATAGTTTAGGTAGGGAAGTATTTACCTTTTGGATTGGCTAAAGTCACTTCTTCTCCTCTCCAAAGGCCTAAGTCTGCTCTCTGTAGTTCCTGAGATACAAGTGCATAGAACTCTAGTGTGGGGCCTAGGCCTGTGCCAACCTTTGGAGGAGAGAGGGGGAATGAGATAAATGAGTGCATTAGGTCAGTTTGAATATCAAAATCTTCACTTAGTGTGAAGAATACAGTACATTGACTATGGAGAAGACTGCATTAAAAAAACACGTCTACAGATGCTAACTACCAACATTCACAACATGATTGAGATGGTTTGGAAAGACCACACAGAGGGAATAACAGTGGAATAAAAGCATTAACCACCTAACGATCATATATAAAGGAAATGCACAAAGCTGTTTGCTTAGTTAAAAAAAATGCTCTGCAGAATAAGATAAATTAGCAAATTTAGTAGATGAGAAAGTTACTCCTAGCAACTAAAAATCACAACCAAGTTGATTAGGGATAACTAACAGACAATTTTGTGGCATGGTAGGGACCAAAAGTCTGATCAAGTTGCTTTAGAACACATGTAGCTTTCTTGTGTTAATCTTCAGAAAAAAGGGGTAGACTGCATTGATATTACTTACTTCATTCTCATACTGGATTTCCAACATGGCTCTTGAACTGCCTAGATCCTGCATCACAGATTCTGCCTGTTTCAACAGCTCATCTCTGTTCACAGTGCGCTACACAGAGAAGTTTTAAGTAGTGAAATTATGTCTTTAAGTCCCAGCTACCAAGGCAGTTCCAACAAGAAAAAAAGTCATGCACGTTTCCCCACCCCATGCTAATGTTTCCACAGTTCAGTAACTTTTAGGCATATATTTTGATAAGATAATTCTTGCTTCTGTATGAAAACTGACTAGAATTCAAGCATTCAATATAAAACCAAAAAACACTGCCTTATTATCAATGCCTATACAATCAATATAACCAATAGGTACTATGCTTGCTAAGGATCTGGCAGTAGGACTAACATACACATGGGCAAGAAAACACGGAATAAAGACGCCAAAATCCAGCAGCTTAAATCTAGCAACCCTAGCCTTGTGGATTGCCTACTAGGGAAAGCTACAGGTTTAAAAAAACCCACCCAATTAAAAAAAAAAAACCACACAACCAAAACCACCAAAAAACACCAGAAGACAAACCCCAACAAGAGTCACTCAGCAAGAACTCCTCACACAAAACCCCACAACAGCACTGGGATTCCTACATGTTGGAATCTATACTCTAGCTGAACTATTCTCATGTCTCATTTCTAACCCAGAAGTATTCAAGAATAAACAGCAGATCTACAGTGTACAGCAGATCTTGGTTTCAGATAATATTTCTTCAGATTCAAGGCAGACACGCAAGACTCCTTTAATTTAAAACAGTCACCACTTAGTTTTATTATGTTGTGACATAATGTTTTATACTCTCCCAGAATACAAGGACAATGTTTGTTGATTGTGGTAACATCTAAGGGCCTACATCCTTTTGCTTGAATTCTGAAATTCTACATAAACCAAAAAAGTAGTTTACAAAATAATATATGGAAATATCACTAATGTAACTAAAACATAAAGGTCATTCTCAGAGTATAGCTTTAAAAATAAGGTAAAGACTCCAAAATTAAGCAGGATGTGAGAAAGCAGTGGACCATGCCCTAGTTCCCTGTGCCACCCAGCTGCAGACACCTAGAAGTCACTGTCCCTTCTACTTGGAAGCTTTTAAATGAATAAACCCAAACCTTCCCTTCATCAGTATACTGCTAAAACATGAAGTTTTAAAAATAAGTCTTGCTCCCCGTGATATTTTTAAAGACAATATAAAATAAGTGGATCATTCATTCACTTTCTAAACAAGATATACCTACTTTTTTCCTGTCCAGTCGTGGTGCCACTCTGCTATCCTGAGAATCTGATTGATTGATTTCTGGATTAGTATCCAGCAGTCTTTGCATGGCTCGATCACGATCAAAAGCAGTTACATAAAACAGCATTTGACGTGTATCAAAAGGAAAGAAAAACGGGCTGTAAAGAGCATTGGATTAGTTAGCTGGGTTCCAACTAGCATATATGACTATAGTTTAGTTTAAAACATAATAGAAATGTAATATGCCTGAAATTAGTGCTTTATTCAACACTGTGGTGAAAGTAGCCTCCAGAGGAATCCTTTCAGAACACTCTTCAGTTTTAGACTCTTCCTTTCAAGTATTGTAACTAGAGATGGAATTTAATCAAAGGAACAACAAAAAATTGCAGAAATTTTTAACTTTCAGAAGAATAAACTCAAAATACTTGAATGCCTTGGCTATACAAAGTTCATACCAGAATGTAAATATTCTTTCACTTGTTCACACCAGTTTTACAATTACTATAGCTAACTTAAAGATTTTAATCAAGTGGCTCAAGATCCTGTATTGGGGCTGAAGGGGAGGGAACAGAATCTGCCTACAGCAGCACCAGCATTCTAGCTTCCACCACTTTCCAAGAACACATGAAATCATCTGTGAATGACTATCAAAGAAGTTTCTTAATTTATCAGTTCCACTATTCTCAAAGGCATGTGTACACTAGCAGCGCAGTCCTCCACTGACATAAGTCAAAAGACAGTTTTACAAACATCAGTGGAAGTATTCTGTATAAGAATATACATTCATAATCATCATGTGTTATCTGGAAGGTTTATGAAGAAATTTAGAGACCTTACTTTAAAAATTAAAAACCAAACAGTTTCTCTAGAGCATACATTTCCAGTCGATTGTCACCACTTTTGCTTCCAATAACATGCTTAAAAATGCAAGGATGTAAATTCTAAACTTCTCATTCTTTCAGCTGAACCGAGTTTTACAGCTTATACTCTGTACCAAGATAAAGTACTACATATAGTTTTCTAAAATTTATAGCATTTTACCAGTAATTATAAAAATATTTTCCTTTGTACCATTCTGAATGTGCTAAGATAAATGCAGTGCTATGACAAATGTCATTAAGCAGTTTAACAGGAGAAAGATGATCTGAATAAGCAAGTACTACTTCTTCAATGAGAAAACTTCATTGTTCAGAAACTCCTCTGAGAAGTCAAACTGTGCAGCTATTTGGTTTTAAACTATGCAGAAGAGGTGTAAACATTCATCCAAGTGCCACTATGTAAGTTAGACTTGTGTGACTTTTTACGCAGCCCCAGCACTTTCAGAAAAAGCCTTTAACACATGATGCATCTGAGCTACCTAGCCAAGCTATTAGAAATGCTACATACAGTAAGCCATTCATACCATGTTTTTCCCAGTTCTGTCAGCCAAGTTGGTATGTTTCCTGTCATAATTACCAAAGGATCCTGAAGCTGCCTGTTTGCTTTTGCTGTCAGTTTACTGTTGATAAACTCAGAGGTTGGAATTATCTCCTTGCAGATTGCATTCTGTTTTAAACAAAAAAAAAAAAAGTACTTCTAGTTAAAGAAACACTAGAAGAAATAGCAAGCCTTTTAATGTTAAGAGTTTTTTTTTTATGCTTCGAGTTTACTTATCATCACAAAAAAAAAACCCAAAAAAACAACTTTCATTGTTACTTCAGTCAGAGTCTAAGCCATTAAAAGATTGAATACATTTCTACTATTAGTTTTCTTTTCAGAAAAGTTGCTCTTTGAACTTAACAGGAGAATGGAGATTGACAGCATTTGCATTATTCTGTCTTGAAGAGGGGTAGACTGGGGAAGAAGCCTATTTTAAGGACAGAGCTGTCTGTATCAAGTATACAAGTGATTTAAGAAATGCGCTACTCACATCATACAAATAATACCAGTATCGACTGATTGCATGTAAAACTCTCAAAAGAAGAATAACATCTAGTGAGGGATCTTCAAATGTTATGTTTTCAGGTGGAGTAGATAGGAGGTAAACTTCCAGAGGATTTAATACAGAAGGGCATACACCATCTACCAGAAAAAAAGAACATGTTATCAGATAATCAGAAGTCTTCCCCAGATTTAATTTACTAGGGGCCTAGGTAGTATTAGTCACAGCACAACTATAACAGTTTAGACAATTCAGTAAGTATGTTACTTTTAGTTTTACTGCACACAAATATATGCTTACTTTTCTTATACTGTGCTTGCATTAAAAGAAACACTATGGTATCTCTAAACACCTCCTCCCCATTCCTTCAGATTTCACAGGTCTAACAGGTTAGCAAGGCAACACACTCACCATGCCACAATTCATCATGTTTTTTAGAATTTCTAGGGGAGGTTTTTGTGGGAGCAGTTTGTGCTCTTCCTCTTTTACCACCAACACAGTCCTTATTACCATCTTCATCCTCTCGCACAGGTTTGTACCTAAAAAGTAATTAAAGTTTAAAAAAAGTCTGTGAAATACTAACTCACATGGAAACAAAAGCAGTTATAGAAGTGTTAGCTCTTTGATTACCAGAATTTTACTTGAATGACAGTTAAAAGCAGAAAGACAAGAACAATGCATTTGGATATGATCCAGCCTTTGAAGCTAGGTCCTCAGTAGCAAAGTATGTCATGGAGGAGGAAAAAATGGCGGCCCTCCGGCTCCATGAACTGGAAGAAGAGAAGCAGAAGGCACAGAAAAAAAAACCCAAAGTTGATTGTTTGGGTTTGTTGTGTTTTGTTTTTGGTCTGTTTGTTGTCCCCCCACCCCGCCACCCCTGCTTTGGAATAACACATTTAAATATAAAAAAAATAAGACCCTGATGAATGCTGAAATTTTTGGCACAGTCCCAGGTCGACACCGCTCCTTGCAAAATACAGCCAGGAAATACATAAACCTGCACAGCATTCAACTGTGAAAACCAGTATGAAGTTGACAATTTGTAGACTGCAGACACTTTCCTCTATTGTTTGTAGTTCGTTGCCTAACAGTAAGAATTACTTCCCTCCATCCAACAGGTATCACTTGAGATCTCATTTCTTATCAGCTTTGCTCGTGAGCTAGAAGTAATGCAAATAACTAACAATGAATTCTTACTAAGATTTAAGTATCTCAAGCACATCAGGTCACTTTGAGTGGAAAAAAGCCCAAAGTACCTATTTTCACATTCTTTATATATATATATACACATCCAGGGAACTGAAGCTGTCCCGTTTCCTCTAGCCAACTTACCAAATGGTATGTGTTTTTGTCCAAATCCCAGCTCTTCCTAGTGGGTTGCTTTCATCATCTGTAGACTCCCTCTCCTCCTCAGCTTGTAAACTGTACTGCCTAACTGCTTGATACACAGTCATATTGTATGGCAGCAAGTGATCTCCAATGTAAAATTGCAGTCTATGTCTCACATTCCCAGAATTTAAGAATTGAGCAGCCTGCACAAAAAATCCAAAGTTAGGAAGCTTGTTGCAGGTTTTTCTTTAAGCCCCTCACCACAGTATTCCCTCCCCTTAGCCCCAGAGCAAAAGCTTACCAAAGATTCATCTATTTCCTCATCTGACCCATCATCATCACTATCTTCATCATCTTCTCTAACTCGTCCATAGCCTGAAGCAAGAGAAAAATAATGTTTTTACACAAAATGCAGCAACACTTGTTCACACTGTTGTTTAAAGCAGTTCCAAAATATGCAAGTTAAAAAAAGGTTGAGATGTTAGAAAATTTCAATATCAAAAAAGCCTAATTACAGCCAGTTAACTAGATTATACTTTTGTTACAATGGGAAGAAGTTTGTCCCATAAAAGTTAATGTTCTCTGCAGCCTTAATCTCCCCTGGGAGTAAGATACATTTATAGGTACCACCCATCCCTCTTCAGTATAGTTCTCACAGGTTTTTACAGACTCATACTGCAGACAACAGTAACTAACCCAAGAAGCATGACACACGTGACCATATAATATATATACATACATATATAGACACACACATACCTCTAACTACAAGGTATCTTTCAATGGCTTGTACCAAAGCCAGAGGATCAATCTTCACAGGTCCACCCTTCCACTGTTTCACATTAGCACAGTCTGGATGTCTTTGCAATTGGCATTTTAACTGATGCGTGTTGAAGAATTTTAAAGCTTGGGATCCTCTGTTAAGAGAAAAACTCAAAATAATTTGTGAAAAAAGTTGCTACACAAAGAATCTAATAATCATAATTGCATTAAAATAGGCAAACACAAATCTGCTAGTTTGGAGTATTGTTTCTCAGTCTATTTCTCTAAAAATAAGCTATTAAGATTTGGATAAAGATATTTAAAAGTCTATTCTAGAAATAGATCAGAATCCAAGTTGGACAACATCGGATTTCCAATGGAAGCTACACAGATTAAGAGAAAGTCTAGTCTGAGGTCTGAGCACAGTAAGGCCTCTACGGACCATCTCTGAGGTCTGGAGTTGTTTAGTGGTCAGCTGATGCCACATGACATTTAGAGTTGTGTCTGCTTGCAGTACAATAAGGATCAGAATCAAGGATGAAAAATGCAAGTATCCATTCATGTTTTTTAATAAGAATCTAAAAACACAACCTGAAAGCTCCTCTTATTTTTTTCCAGAAAGTGTAGCTTATGTACATGTTCCACATCAAACTGTTTATACACAAACTTCTTATCTTGGGCTGCTTATGCTTCCAGGTGGTAGTGAAAGACTACCAAATCTTAATGCCTCAAAGCTATCATTGACATAATCCACAGTAAAACTGGCAGTCAAATGATACTGTAGTAGTCAGACTTCTCATGTTTAATCTTCTATCAAAAAGAACAGCACAGTTTACTTCTTTGATTAGCAGCTTTATAACTTTTGCAGTTATCCCAGTTTTTACAGATAGAGTGCATGGATTACAGAGCACACATTGTTTACAAAAGCCAGTATCAAGACAATTTCTTCAAGTATTAAGAAGTCTGTGTATTGCATTCATTCCCATGGATTTAAGCTTAGCAAAAAAACAAGTACTGAATTTTAATGCAAATTAGATTAATGCTATAGTGTGAGGCTCTAATACATCTAGAATAATAGATGTTATGCCACAATTAGTGACAAGAAAATTCTGTGCTATCTTACTACCTGAGAGACAGAAGATTTTTGGCATTTCAAACTTTAAAGAACAGTTCTCAAAAATTCATTTTCAATGCTCCTTCACTCCTAATTTTTACACTGTCACAAGCATATGTCTATACACAAATTGAGCTTTTAGCCAGCACCACAAAATACTTTAAAAGTTATACACAACTTATATTAAAATATTACATGCTGAATGAAAAAGTGCTGATTTATTAAGTACAGAAAAGGAATTGTAGAAATAAGTCTTCAGTCCCTAAAATTTGTTACTTAAATTATTTGCAACAAGTTGGAATCCAAATCTAATCTATCTTGAGACACGGGGCAGGTCTACAGTTATTTCAAACTATGTTGACAGCCAACGATTGTCACAATCCATTATCATCCTAGAGAACAGAACTTATCTGAATAACAGTTTAGCACCGTAATATGAACTCTCAGCAGTTTAATTACTTCACTAAAAAATATCAGTACCTCAGCAATAAATAGGTTATTTCTTTACAGTGTTTGTTACATGGGGACAAAGAAGACATTTCAAGTTTTAAAGCTTAAATGCAGAGATTTAATATTACACATCCACCCACAATCTAAGTAACCGAAGTTTCAAGATGGCAAACAAACATTCGGTTAAATATTCAATCTTCCACCAAGCAAAAGAAAAGCCAATTGTGTAACTGCTTTTCTCTGTAAGAGCACCAGAGCTTTCCATTACCTTTTGGGACTTTCAGCATTGAAAAAGTTTTGGAAAACAAAAGCTTCAAAAAAACTGTTACCTGAGCATTAATCCTTACCTGCTCCCTGTTCCGTTTCCACTAGGGAAGTCATGCACTTTGACAGGGAACTGCTCCATCTGACTGAGGCAATTGTTCATTTTATGGACTAATGCCAACAAAGGTGCATTTTCTAATGGCTCTAATCTTCCAAGGGGTTCTTCTCCAGGAAGCTGAAATATATTCCACTCTTAGTTATGAGCTTGAATTAATCCAGTTTACACAATTTATACAACAAGCTGGTTTAAAAAAGAAATTTAAGATTCACTGTTCTTAAAATAACAGTATTAGGATGGTTAGGTAACACAAGTTTATGAAAGACCTGTTTCCAAGAACACACTCTTCTCTCTTGGTTTCACTTGAGTAGCACTACAGATTTTAAGCATTCACCCTTAACCATGAGTAATAAGCTTTATGGACACTGTGGTTTACTTTCCTCTCTTCCACTTCAAACTTCTTCCTTTAAAAACAGGATAATCTAGTTTCTTGTAGTGTTCAGGACTAAAGAGAGCAAGTGCTGAAATTACTATCCAAACAAATTTTAAGTTGTCCAAGACTCAAACAATCGGGCATTTTGGATTTGCTTTCCACTTGCGTGGCATTTTCATAATTACAGGCTATTCTAAAGTTTATGACCCATAGAAAACACAGAATTATGTTAAAGTTTTAGTGTTACTCAGCTTTGTCTCCGTAGACAAAACATCCCTTCTGTACTACATCTTTAAATCAAGGTCATTTACCCAATCTCTCAGACATTGAAGTACAATTCAAGAAAGACAACTTAGAAAGACCAAACAAGAAAACTTACTGGAGAAGAAAAAAATACGTGAAGAAATCTTTTCAATCTGATATCCCTGCTTACAGCATCCTTCTCACTTTTAGATGTCAAATAAAGCAGCAGCTGTTTAACAAACCCACTATGCTGAATTTCAAACGAGGAGACATCAGACTCAGAGACAATGCTACGGATTTCTACAAGGCACTCTGTTCCACCATCCACCTGAAAAATATGAAGGTAGTATTTTACTACCTAGGTATTAACAGCTTAAGAAATACTATTTTTTCCTCTTACTGCATGGAACAGCTCTAAACAAAGGAGGGGAAAAAGGGAAAGTCTGGAGTGTATAGTAACTCAATGTAAGCAAACAATCCAAGGATAAACCATTTCTCTCTAGTCAAGAGGAGACATTACAGGTAACATGTACATTTTCACTGTTTTAAGAGAAATGCATGGTTCCACTTCTGTCTCAGGTAACAAAGATGTGATTCAAATAAGTTTTTTTAAAAAAATCAAAATAAAAACTCAGGTTGGTATATTTTTTTACATGTATGTGTGGAACAGAGGAGAGAGTTTATTTTAATGACTGCTTAGATCAAAGCACAGAACATAACTCAGCTGGTTAGCTACTTTAACTTATAAAGTTTCAGACCACTTATCAAGGCCACAAATGTCTGAGAAACAAGGCCAAAATTCTTGAGATGCTGTAGACTAAGCCAAATCTGCATTTCTTCTATCCTTTCAACCAAATGCTACTTTTCTCTTGTCCTCCACCCCTCCCAAAAAAAGTTTTTATTACAAACTGCTTTCTTCTTAAGGTATGAAGTTAATTCCTAACACTTAACTGTAGATTTTAAATGAAACATTATATAAGTGACACGTAGCTAGGAATCAAGAATATCCTTGTTAATAACAGTAATTTCTCATAGATGTTATGTGTCAGATCTTATATAATTCTATAAAATAATCCCAAGCAAGTAATTACAAGTTAAGAAACCCTGTATCATCATTTAAGGTAACAGCAACTATACTTAAAATATTGGCCATACTGTCTAAAATGGTCAACTTTCCTCTAGTTTACTCAAGTACTTACTACTGTTTCTATCCCCAGCCTCAACCCGAGTATATTTGCCATTTCTAACCTGGAGGTTGAGTTGTTCAGTTGCAGTGCAAAGTCTCTGTAGTACGTTTAGTGCGGGATTGCTTCCATCCATGTTTTCAGAACTAAAATAACGTTCTACAAATTTATGGGCTTGCTCCTTAATCCAGCCCTTAATTTTTTCTCTGTAAAAAAGCACACAAAAGTTATTTGGCCACAGTTGGCATTTACATACTCCAATATTACAAGTAAACACAGCCAGAGTATCATCCCTCCCACATTTAAGAGGAGGGACGGACAAAAGAAACCCTCCCTACTCCAACACAGTAAAGGTCTACTCTTGACAGATTATTTCTTGCACTCATCCCAAGTCTCTAATTTTTCCCATGCATGCTACTTGAAACTCTTAAGTTATTTTCTCTACCTGAATTTCTTGATTCTTCTCCCACAGCTTAACAATGGTTAAGCTCAAATGTCTTTGATAGGTGTTACTTAATCATCTGATGGCTTACCATAAGAAAGTAGTTGCACCTCCAAACCAACACCATATTAAAAGCATTTTGATTTGATTTTTTTTTTTTTTCTGTGTATACCTGTTATTTGAAACATTATCCTTGGAAGCAGCCCTTGCAAGACCACTTACTCCTGCTGTTCGTGCTGGTTCAATATTATTACTGTTGGACTGCGTGCTTAATCTTCCCCATGTTTTAGGATTTAAACTTGCCAAGAAAGAAGATTTAGGAGATTGAGTAGTTGTAGGGCTTTTAGCTGGAGGAAGCAAAGACAAAAAATAAGAGTATCAACAGGTTTATTACAGCTAGATCTTTTGACAGATTATAAGCTTAAAGTTTAAAAGGAGAACAGCAAGCATCACAACTTAAAAATTATTCACCTTGATTGTCCACTTTGTCGTCATCTCTTGGAGGGGAGTATTTTGGTCTCCTTGGCCCTCGTTTTGGCAGTCTTTTTCTCTTTAGAACATCACTCAGTCGTCTGTCCAAATTTAAAAATAAAGCAATACATTTTCACCCACCATATTCAAAAGCATACTGATCCCTCAGTTTAAAATGCACCTGCCACCTATTTCATCAAAAACCAAAAACAAAACAAAAAAAAAAAAAAAAAAAAAAAAAATCACAAAAACGGTTCCATCCCATTACAAGGAGGGCAACAAGGGAAGAATGAGATCTGGGAGAAGGGGCCTCAACTCTACTGAGAAGAATAAAGTGACTATCCAGAAAGAAGGGGTTCTGCTTGCTGTCACTCTTCTACTATTGGCAGCCAAATACAGCCAGAAGTTCCATTAAACAAAGGTTTCTCATTATTTTCATGTTCTTATTTGTGTAATCATCTGGATATTAATTTACTGGAACACAATTTAAATGCAAAAAATCCATACATCTCTACTGAATACCAAGACACTGGATATTTGATCTGCCTTCCCTATTAAAGCCCAGAAAAACACTTCTTCAGCAACTTATGGAGTTTCTACTCAAAGCCTTACACTTAGTTTATGTTTCAATTCTGATTTTAAGTGAGTTTCCATACTATGCCAATACGTTAAGACACATTTCACCTTTAAAGTATAGGCAAACTGTAACACTAAAATAATTTACACCTACAAGAGACTTTAATTTTTCAAGTGTTCAAAGTGGCTGTATTCCAACAAAGTACCTTAGAGAAAAAAGAAGTTATCCTTAATGTCCAGCAGAAAGGAACCATTGCACCATAGCTATTGTTTCTGTGAAAGAATCACTCTGTCCTCAAGAGTTACATGAGACTACAGCTGTTGCTCCTGGCATTCTCCAGCTTCTCCCCAAACAGCAGCTTGTTTCATTAGTCACTAGTTAGTTTTCTTGTTTGCATTTTTTATGTGTGTGGGGTTTTATTTGTTTAGTTGGTTTTTTTTTTTTTTTTTAACATTTCATATAGAATTAATCAAAACTATCCACTGGCAGCTTCAACACCACTCCCTTTTAGTTCCTTGGAGGAAAATACTATGGCAAAATGCAGACAATAGTGTAGTAGCCCATGTCAGTAAAGACCTTTATTTAAAAAAAAAAAACAAACCCAAAAGCAACACACAAAGAACTCCAACAGATTGTTTTTCACAACAAGAAGTGCACTTACCCCTGTGGGCTCAGATCCAGAGAATCCTCCCGGCTGTTCTGTAGGCTGGGGGAGCCCAGGTCTGCAGCTGCATTCGTGGCAGCGGTGGCCGTCCCCGTGCTCAGCGCTGCAGTGGGGCCCAGCACCCCCGAGCCGTTAGTGCACACTTTGGGTGGGCTCGTCAGCAAAGCCTCAGACTCTGCCAAGTTTTTCACTTGGTGCATCACCCCTTGGCAGAAGAAATCTTTGGTTGGTTGGTATGTGGGGGCAGTTGGGGGGGCAGCAGGGACAAAGGTGTTTGAAAAGACAGAAGTCTGTAATTCAAACCTTTGTTTTGACTATGGCAGCACCGGTTCAGCCCACCCACCAATACTAATTAAGTATTAATTAAGCAGTTCAGTTCTTTCTTCAAAAATGTTACCTTACATTGTTTGTTTGTTTGTTTTCTTTTTGGCTTGTTTGTTCTTAAATAATGACAGCAGTGCAAACAATAGCCAAAGAAATCCAAAAATCCCCAGTGGATTAGAACAAAGACTTCCTGACAAAGACTCATAATTTTTGTCCAGTAATTTCAGCAAGCCATCTTCAGCCTAAATGTAAGTTCACTAATACCTAGTAAGCCTGTACAAATTTGTTTCAGATTCAGAAAAAACAAGCTTGTTTCTTCCAGAGTCTTGATCACCTCCACCCTAGTCCTACAAGGTGTGCTTGCAGAGATCTGTCTTTATTATTCAAGAACAAACTTTTTACATCTTAGCAAGGATAGAGCAGATGGTAAAGGACATGGATATAGACTATTAAAATACTAAATAAGCTAAAGAAGAAAAAAAAAAGAAAGCAAGATTTACCTTCTCTTCTGAAGTAAACACTAAAAATATCAGGTAATTTTTGCATTAATATTTCTGCCATTTGCAGGGCTCCAACTACTATCTTAAGGTCTTGACTCGACAGCATGGAGGCAATATGACTAGAACAGATAATTTTTTAGTATTAGGTTTGTCTTTTTCACGTATTTTAAAAAGATTAAGCCAGTTCATCTTGCATACATAGTACTAGAGACTGAAAGAAATTTCATTGTGCTTTTGTAAAAGCTATAAATAAAAACTGAAAAAAGTGTTCTCATCTAAATCACTTTTACAAAATTTTAACATGAGGAATAAAGGAAAAGTTTTCATCCTTTAAAAAACATAGTGATGTGAAACTTGGTATTGCCTTTGAAAAACTAGTTTATTTTCTATTTGCATCCTTTTACCTAGATCCCTAACTTTATGGTATAACAGTGTGCATTTTCAATACAACTGAACAGTTGAATGCCATGGGAGTCTGTGTTCACTATTAACAAAAATGTCATCTTGCCCTCAAAAGTTTATAGGCAAGTTTTAGAAATCAGTAAAAACAGCAAACAGTAATATTAGATATTATTAGCACATACAGCCACATAAGGTCAGATAATGGTCTAGTGAAAACGCCTAGAGTTGGCATCTACTGCAAAATGTAAGATGCAAAAAATCCCTGAAGAACTGGCAGGGAAAAAGCTTTTTTTAAAAAAAAAAACAAAACCAAAAAAAACCACCACACACTTAAAAGTACAATTTTCCCCTGAAAAAGGCAATTCAAAGAAGTAATCATAAGTTTGAGTTGCAAACTTGAAATTTTTTCATTTACAATGGTTAATGAACCCACCTTGAAACAGCATAGTTTTTGAGCACATCCTTCAGAAGTTCAGCATCAGCAAAATATATTATTCTAAGAATTGCTCTAAGGCACTTGTGTCTAACTGCAGGTCCAGCTGAAGAACTATACACTTCATAAAGAACACCAAACAATGTTTTGATAAAGGATTTTGCCAGTTCTGGGTCCTCTTTCATTAACTGTGCTCGAGCATCATCCTTCTTCAATTCTGAATGTCCACCTGTGAGAAATTATGCATCAAATCATTGCATAGTTCTTTGTGTCTCTGCTCTGATGATTACTTTCTTCTATAAAAGCTGAATTAGTTTAGCTCTCAAACTGAAGAGATACAATTTAAGAAGCAGAATTCAAACTGATGGCAAGAATTCAGGTACAAATCTCCCCTTTCAGGGAGTTCAATCTTTTCAGTTTTCTTAAATGTTTCTGTACAACAGTAAGTCCTCACACAACCTTTGTTAAAGAAATAGCTGTATAAGAAAAACTTTCAGAAAATCCCAAGCCAGGGACTCCCCCAGATGTCCCTCCCAATTTAATGCATTTTCAGTTCCCAGGAAAAAAGTTTATATATCAAAAAGAATACTTTTCAACAGTATGAGTTTTGTGGTAAAGCTGTCTTCACATAAATCAGACTAGTTTTTATGTTCCACAGAAACCATAAGAAATTTTAGTAGGCTGTTGCATAAGTCAACATAAATTGGGTTGGACTAGATGACCTTTAAAGGTCCCTTCTAACCCAAAACATTCTATGATATATCAGCCATAGCTAGGCATGTCATCTTTCCTAAGCTGTACTTACTAGTGTTTGTATTGGCTAAAGGGTTTGGTTTCCGCTGAATGGCACGTGCTGTTCCAGTATCCTCATTTATTTGCTGCATAGAGTTAAAATCAATAGTATAGACACGCCCAAGTGTAGAGAGGCTTATCTCATCCTCACCAACCTGATGAGCTGCCTAAAAGCAAGGAAGAATTTAAAGTTGAGAAATCCCTAGCTGTAGGGGAGGTGACGAAAAGGACAACACTGCAGGGAAAACAACTGACAGAAATACAGTAAGAACAGTGATTAAGCAATTCACCCATTACTGAGTACTGAAATATTGCACTTTTATGGCATGAGGTTTGAGGAAACTCGTGTTTCTGCATCAGGTCTGGCTGAGCTGTTTTCCCATTGCAACCCTTCTGGTGCAGTGCTTTTGTGCTGGGAGTTAGAAGGGTGTTGATAACACCCATGTTGTGACTACCACTGAGCAGTGCTCGCACAGCGCCAAGGCTCTAACACTCCCCCTGACAGCGGGATGGGGAGGGCAAAAGACTGGGGGGGTACTGGGGGGGGAAACATAACCAGGACAGCTGACCTGGACTGACCAAAGGGATGTTCCATACCATATGGCATCAGCTCAACTCTAAAGCTAGTACAAAGGAGGAGGAGAGGCTCTCCAGAGCAACTGGTATGCATTTTGGAGCCCTCCTTCCCAGGAAGGGGCCAGACATCACTTGTTGATGGGAAGTAGAGAATAAGTCTTTGGGTTTATTTTTCTCTTCACTTCCATACACGGCATTGCTTGGCTTTGCTTTCTAATTAGACTGCCCTTGTTTTTACCCATACAGATTTTTTCTCCATCTTATTTTCCTTTCCACTTTTGCTCTGTGGGGGAGGGAGAGGGCGATAAAGAGGCCTGGCAGGCGTCTGGTGCTCAGCCAGGGTTAATCCACCACAGTTTCTTACTCAGAAAGCACAAGGCTGGTACTTTCAAAGGTGTAAAGAAAGCACTCAATCCCTTACACAATCACGCGCATATTTAAAAGATATCACCACACAAACGTGTGGAATTACTACCTCTATTATTCGACTATCAATCCTGTTATAGGGATGCCAGAGACCCCTGTCATCTCGCCATTGCCATATTGCACCATCTGTATTTTGTGCATTTCCTTTCTTTAGCATAGTATCAACAGCAAAGATCCCCTCTTTTGGCAGGCAAGGCATCAGCTCACTGTAAAGAACATTAAAACAATATTTTACTAGAAATATACAATTTAATCCCATCTAAGCTGAAAACAGTTTGCCTTAATTTTACAGAAGTTAGGAATTTTAACATATCAACCAGACCCAAAAACAAGGGCTGCATAACTTACCAGATAAGAGAAGTAAGCTCATAAAGTTCTTGAGGACTTCGTGGAACAAGGTCAATTTGTTCTTGACAACTCCCATTTGAGGCTCCACAAAGGAGGAAATGAAGTGTTTCTGCAATATCTATAAAAATTAATATTCATGAGATTGCCTGTGTCAGAATATGGACTCCATTTTGTGTTGGACACTAGCCAGGAGAGTTAGTCACTTCCCAAAGAAGGCAGTAGACAGTAACACAAAAGCCACCTCTTGGAATGTTTTAAGAAATGTGTTTGTTCTTAGGTCTGGGGTTTGTGGGTGTTTTGGTTTTTTTTTTACCTTTAAAGGACAGCTAGCAGAGAAATATCACTCACTATACATAGCACAGAAGTAAACAGGAGAGTATAAAAGGCAATTGAAATTACAAGTCAAAATTCATGAGATTGTAAGAAGAAAAGGAGCAAGAATGAAGACAGCTACACAGGAATTACTTTTCTTAATGTTTTCCCTTTGAAAAAAGTCCTTAAAATTATATTTCCACCCCCCTGATAAAGACTACCAAAAAATTATTCAACTTGTGTTGGAACGATAGTAACTTGTGCAGCTAACAGACTCAAAATTAGGTGAGCACTCCAGTTGCAACTGCTAGGGAAAGGGAAGCAGCAGGGGACCTCAGGAAAAAAGAAAACCTTCAACAAAATTAACTCTTTCTCCCAGAGAAAACATTAAGAGACAGAAAAAATAAAATGAACACAGTATTTGTATAATCAAGTGCACAGAACTCTATATTCCATACATCCATACAGATGTAGGGATTAATTTAAATAGGTCCTCCAGAATATAAAAGAGTAAGAACTCACTTTGCTTCATGAGCTGGACTGCAAGAGTAGGGCAATTTGAGCACATTAAGGAAAACATGCGCACCACCATGATGAACATTCCTGAGCTCAGGATAGGAGGCGTCACTACCAAGAGTTGCTGGATATTTGTTAACAAGTCCTTGGAAGCAACCTGCTGGAGCAAGTTCTTCAGGAGGGAACAAGAAAATTGAAAACATTAGTCTGAATTCAATAGGTAAGTCCTAAAGAAACTGAGGGAAGGAAAAAGGAAACAAAAATACACCCCAAAAAACCACACCCCCTTACCTCCTCATGCTGGAAGTTGTCCACTAGACGTGCAAAACAGAGGCAAGTACTTTCAACAGATTTTTTGTCCTATTATAAAAAAAAAGTATTTGTTCCAATTAAAATATTTTAACCTGTATTAGATTACCCTGCCATTTTAAGGCATTCATAAAATTCCTCCAAAAAGGCCAGCTGTAATCACACTTTACAGAATATTACAATTCTGAATTTTAAGTTCACCGATACAGTCTAAACTGACCTCACGATACAGCTGTGCTCGGGCAAATTCCCTGGGAAACACCTCACATTTTCAACACTAATACCTTTAGGGTTCTTTTAAATATGAATAAATGGATCTATAGTATCCTTTTTGGCTTCACAAGGTCAAAAAAAAGGGGAAAGAGCTACAAAGCCAAAGTAAGATGATACAGATAAGCAGGAGTGAAAGCTACTGTTACAAAGACTACATGAGGTCTGATTTTTCTGTCAAGCAGTGCCAAGACAAATTCAAAGACACCAAGAGTAAAGACTGCTCTAAAAAACTCCAGTTAAAATTTCACTTAAACACTCAAAAAAGTTCACCTGAATACTATAAAACAGTAAGAGTGGCTGAACACTGGAAGAGGATGCTCAGAGAGGTTAAGTCTCCATCCTTGGGAGTTTTAAAAAAAAAAAAAAAAAATACACATCCTCCAAGAACATCAGCTGGACATGGTCCTGGGCAATCTGTTTTAGTTGACTTTGCTTAATCAGGGGGTTAGGACTACATAATTGAGAGGTACTTTCCAATCTTAACTGTTCTGTCAAGAGCTAAATCAAGCTTTATCTTTCCCCCTAAAAAATTCCACTTAAAAATTTCTTGAAATCTTACTTTTGTGGGCTATAGCTTCTTCAAAGAGCAGGAATCGGTACTTGTTCCTACTGCTGCTGAGAACGGTGCTACCTGTTTCCAAAACACTATCTAAAGCTGATATTTGACTTCTATGAAGCTACCTCAAGGATTCAAGTAGTCTCTCATTAAGATGTTGATAAAATTAAGAATAGCACAAGAATACACAAGAACATTATCTGAAAGCTTCTATTTAGTTTGTTTTGTTCCTTAGCTAAAGCATTTACACTTTTTCACCTTTATAACAGGGATCTGCCAATCAAGGAACACATCAAAATTGCTTTTGGTGTAATAGTCATTGTAACTGCTCATTTACGAACCCGGCAGCACTGCAGGATAGGCAGATCTTAGGAGCCACATGATTTAGGATTCACCACATCAAAATAATGTGCAAAAGTAGGAACCTCTTTTTAAAAAAAGCCATAAGACCTCCCAAAAAGTGAAATAATAAAAAACCCAACACACAAAACCAAACTGAAGCTCTTCTCAGTTTAAAGTGTATGGGAGCCCTGCAATGCAGTTAAGAAAGAGTAACGCTACTGGATCTTCTCTTACTGATGGGCAAGAAGGACTACAAGCTCACTACTATTCATGCTTTAACTTAAAGTGCATTACTTATCACATTTTACAAAATAGAATCATTGTGAATCCTTACAGCATGTTCACAAAAAAAAAACACCTCAACAAGTCCACATACATGTCAGAATATCACGACTTGACAGTACAGAAACTCTAAGGCAATTATCACATTGCAAAGGCAAAAAAAACCATTGAAGAACTAGGTGTCTGGAAGCAACTTTATACTACTTTCAGATCAAAATTTAAACTTTTCATTTTACAATAGCTTCTTACCTGATGGGTTAATCTTTGTGTAAGCAGTGGCAAAGAGTCTGCCACAAAGTGAAACTCGTCAGGTGTTATACTCTGGCAGCAGTTGGCAGCAATAGCTAGTGCATTTCTCTGTGCATTTATACTGAAGAACTCCAGATACAACAAACAGTCTGCCAGCCCACCCTATAATAAAATAAACATTTTCACTCTCAGTACTGCTGGAAAAAGAAAGAAAATCAGAGAAACTTGTTTTCTTATTTCATCTTCAGAGAAGATCATCAAGATGTAGGACAGGTATAGGTACAAGTGCTTTCGTTTTACTTACTGCCTGTAGAATGGCTTTACTATGCCTGCGTGATAACATCTCCAGGGCTGTAAGTGCCTGCTCTGCCACATCAATACACTGAATAACTTGCAACTACAAGAAAACAGAAAGCTTGCAGATCAATTTCTAAACCAGTTTGTAAAAATAATCTTTATTAACACTGGGGCAGTTAGCCTGTACTAAGACAGATAAGCTAATACAGCTGCACTACTAGTGTAATCAAGCTAGCCAATTTAAGGCTAGGTATATCGTAGCCCGTATCGCTACTCCAAGAGTGACCAGTTTGTACAATTACGTGGTACCTTTGCAATACCAATCAGACAAAAAGTTCTCAGTGAAATCAGATGGTGCTTTTCAGTAACAGGTGTAAGTGTGTTTGTAAAAGCTTCTCAGCCATTATGTATTATATAGTAAGTTAAAAAGACAAGCCATTATCTTAATGGTAGTCTCTAAAGTTAAAACTAAAAGTTAAAATCCCTTAAGATTAATTTAACACTGATTTGATTTAATTTTACCTTTTCCAAGAAGACAGGAATGGCATCTACCACTACAGCAGATGATCTGGGAAGTGCTTCCATCATGTATGTTAAAGCCCGACACGCATGGTTCATCTATCAAATATACAGATATTTAAGTTCAGGTGATACATTTGTGTTTAAAAAAAAAAATTCTTAAACATTACAAATCACTTACAATGTCAAAGTTGTGCTCCATCTGCAGCAGCGTTATCTGTTTTTAAAAAAAAAGCAACATAAATAAGGGCACAAATCAGTATCATAGCTTTTGACTTGGGACTTAATTTTGGTAAGAGCTGCAATAGAGCCAATACCTTTTCTTGAGCTACTAATTAGACTACCAAAATTTAGCAAAACATGGCTTCAAAACCAAATCATGAGACATGTAGATAGATACACATATATATGTAAGTGAGAATTTAATATAAAGAAAGAACATTTAATTTATGCAAGATACTGTGTGAAATTATATACTCTAATAGAAATATGAGATTTGATCTTTACCAAAGCTGGTACAACACTCTTGACTGGAAACCCTCCTAATGTTTCTTCATTCCCCATGACCAACAGCTGGCACATCTCAATCACCGCCTGTAGTTGCTGACTTTCATCAGTGGCTTGTAGACCTTGTAAAAGCTGTTGGGCTTTAGAACCTAGATATCCAGAAAAAAATTAGGAAAAGATAATAGAAAACCTAAGTGTTCAAGTGAACTGTTATGCTCTACTTCTGCCAGAGTGGAAGACCAGAGATAGTTTGTTTTCCTCTGTATTTGTAGTTTCACTTCCTTTCACTGTCATTAAAAGGAGGGGTAGGAGTGGAAATAAGAAAGGGAGGCAAAAATCTCACTCCTGGCTGTCTTTCCAGTGCAGACTGGTCAGCACAGGAAGTCCACGACATTGCTCACCATAGCCATCTTGCCAACCTACAGCAGGTGCTAGAACCCCCACCACGCCACCTTTATAGAGCAAAGGAGTTTGACACAACCCCTGGATAAGACAGCACATGGAATATCCATGAGACCCCACCCTCTTCTTGGCAGGCAGTGTAACAGGCTGCCTTGGGTTCTCCCAGGAGGCCAAGCAGACTTGGACTAGAAGGCACACATTTTATCCAGCTGCATAATGCAGACATGGTGAAACAAGACTAAAGGATCCATGTCCTCACTGGCACACTGAAGGAAATTTCTGCTGTAAACCTAAGACACTTTTGAAACTGTGAACAAAATACCTCAGAATTGACATCTACTAAGTTTAAGCTAGCTTAAGCATGTTTGAAGTTAAAAAAACAAGGGGGTTGGAGACATCTTTTGTTAAGCAGCCCATCATGCAAAAGAAAATGGAATGGGTGAAAAGGCAAAGAAACCTCCCTTCCCCACCTAGAAGGGAACATTAAGATGCCCCCCAAAAAATAAAAGAAATATGGCTAAACCAAATTTTTCTTCCTTACAGGAAGACAAGCAAATATTCTTGACCAGTGGTCTAGCTCTATCATGACATACAAATCTCCAACATGTAATATTAAACTACGAAGCTAACACAAATGTTAGAATTTACTAGTTGCTGAATTCTGCTAGTCTGGAAGTGGAAAGAATTAAGTCAAATTAGACAAACTTTGCTTACTAGCTCCACTTCCAATTGTCCTGTGGAAGAGCTGCGACATCCGAGGACCAAGAGGGCCAAACAGGTGAGGAGGAAGACCCCTAGCCTCTAATAGAGCTAAAAGCAAACAGAGGATAACAGCCATTGTCAAAGCTTCTACATATATTTTTAAAAGCTTAAATTCCATGATGCTATAACTTAAGACTACTGGAATTTCAATAACTTTTTAAGAAAGAAGAGTTAGGGTTAGATGACTACAGCAACCTCAGTTTCTAAATTAAAAAAAAAAAAAAAAACCTTTAGGGAACAAAACTCATTTTTGTATGTGTCAGAGTATTAAGGCCCTTTAAGAAGTCACCCCACTGAGTTTTCAGAGTTCTACATTTCACAGAATAAATAGTCTAGCAAATTGTTGTAAGTCTAGATCCAGAATAGTAAATATACCAGACTAATTTCAAATCTGAACTCAAACTAAATAAGAGGTTAAGCTCATTTTCCCATTTTCAAGAACTGAATGGCACTATAACCTGAAAAAATTACACTGAAAAACAAGTTCACAGCTTAATTTGCTGCTGAGCAGGAGTGGAAAGAAGTATGCTACATACTAAGGATATTAGGTTTTTCAGTTCTGTTTTTCAACACTTTTCAGTACTGTTGGTTAAGCTAGTCTAAGTGATTCTGATTCTCATTGTAGCAACCACAACTACTGCTGATCAATAGAGTAACAATTAATAGTAAAAATCAATTTATCTCAATATTCCTAATGCATACCTATGCTTACTGAGGACTATAAACAAGTGAACTGGTAGTGACACAGCACTGATTTCCACATGAAATACCCAGATTAATTGAAACCTATCATGTGCAAGGGAGATCATTATCTCAGAGCTCTTTGCAGTGTAGTGGCAAAATTATTAACACAGTTGTAGGACATGCAAACTGAGTTTTTATACCCGTCTGTCCTCTTGGGTTTTCAGAGTCCTTTGGCCCAAGCATAAAAGCAAGACTTTTAAGAACATTTTGATTTTGTTTGGTCAAAGCTTCCTGCAACAGAGGCGTCCATGACAAGCACAAATAACATTACCCAGAAACAGGCAGAGTAAGAGTAGACCTAACCTGGCCTGTGAACTGAAAACATTCTTGCAAAGACTTGTTTTCATATTTGAGCTTACACCCTTAATAGGTCTGAGTTCTCAATTCTCTCCCCTCACCTTGTCCTGAAAAACAATCAATAGACATGTATTATGTACCCTGTAAATGAGTAAGGGCACTATGCCACCCCCTTCAGAAATTACTTCCAAATTCTTGCGTTTTCAGTGAATTAAGGCTCCTATTCCATATTTCAGAACTACTCTAAGCAAAGCAACACATTCAGACAAAGTACAGACTTCCCACTACATATAATACAGAATTTGGGTACATATGGCTACTTATAGGCTGCAAACAACAACGAAAAAGAAAGGTAAATTAATAACAACTTTTATACCTTGTAGTCTTCCCATCTCAGAATCATCTGACTCGCTTTCTCCAGAGGTTGTCATACCTACAGCCCCAGCAACAGAACTAGAAGCTAAAGAAATAAACTAGAGATTAATGCAATACAGTGCCTTTAAAGCTACAGAATTTTTATCAATTCCACCATCAAGGAAAGCGTCCACCATCAGAAGCGTGCTCTAGCTTTAACATTGTCATCTTCACACTTAAGGTAAAATAGACCAGTCGGTGAGTCTACTACTTTCCAAAAGCTGAAGAGAGGCTATATCAACACAAGGTAACGAAAACAAATACAGCTAGATCAGCAAACTACCTTTCAGGCAGACTTATCCACTTCTCTAGTAAGTTTGTTTTTCTAAATTGAGTGTTATGCTGCACTTAGATTTCTGTTAGTTTTCACTGCTTTTTACTGTTTTAGCTAGCTTTAAGCAGAGAACATTCAAGATTTTCTGTAATCCAGCACAACTGCTGGGAAGCTCCTTTGAACCTACTAACGATTACAGCCATATGGTAAAATTAAGTACCATTTACTAGGACCATAAAAAAATTACTTAACTTGCTTACAAACTTCTCCAGTACAGACATGGTTGCAATTTCAGCAGAAAACTTGCAGAACAAGTAGTTACAAGAGCTTTTACAGGTAAATGCATGCCTTCTGTATTCTGAACAGTGTGCTGTCTGCTTGGTACAGTAGTTTATGTAGCATCAGCCGAAGTTACTTTTTTTTAAAAAGTAGATACCTGAAAACTAAAGTCTACTTTTCTCGACTACAAAAAAAAATCATAACTGAAGCCAGATATCCAAGAGATCAGATTCAGAAGTAAATAAAGGTCCCTCGCAAAAACCTTCCACAATTGACCAGCTGTACCTGCATAAATAATTTCTTCCCCGAACTTGATGAATTGAATGATTTAAATTATAAAAAGATACAGGAAAGAGTTGAGACCTGCTGGTGAAACAAACATAAGGTGAGACTGCACACACAGTGGAAGCAGGTACAGACATCCTGGGGAGCATGCAGAGATACTGCCTGGTTGTGTAAGGACAAGGTGAAGAAGGCCAAGGCACAGGCAGAGCTGAACTTGGAGAGGAGCGCAAAGAAAATCAAGGGCTTCTACAGATATATAAACCGGAAGAGGAAGGACAAAGGAAGGCATCCCTCCCTGAGGAACAGCAATGATAACTTAGTAACAGACAAGGAAAAGGCTGAGGTCCTAAACAAATTTTGTCTCAGTCTTTAATGGTACCATCTCTCTTCACAACCCTCCAGTGGAGGCCCACAAGACAGGGACCAGCAAGAC